ATTTCTTCCAATTATCTTTTTTTTTTTATTTCACCTTGGCGCGCACGCCGCTCACCGCGGCGGCACCTTGAGCGCCTTTATGAGCGTCGCCAGGAGGTTGATGTCGTCCTCTGAGAGTTCGTCCTTGAACTTCTTGATCGCGTCGACGGAGGGCCGCGTGATGAGCGAGAACACCGAGTCCGTCTTGTCGAACTGGCGATCGTACACCACGCCCGTCTCGCCCGAGTTAATCTTCACCGCGCACTCGTGCCCCATGCGGGCGACGGGGATGCCCTTGTTGTCACGCTCGATTGTCATGACTCGGCCGAGCAGCAGCGGCGTCTCGCCCCGCATGATCGCGAGGGGAGTGCCGGGGTGCAGCTGCCCGCGCTCCACCTTCACGGGGAGAATGATCGGGTCCGACTTATGAATGGCATCGTCAATGATCGAGAGCTGCACGGGGAAGACGGCAATGGCGCGGGCCCGCTCCTTCTCACGGCTCTCGTATTCAGCGACGTAGCGCGTGAACATGTCAAAGAGGTGGTAAATAATTTTCGCCTCAAAAATGTCAATGTCGTTCTTCTTTGCAATCTCGCGCGCATCTTCAGAAACCTGAACGTCAAAGGCCAACACCACCGCGTAGCGCGGCGCCTTCCGCTTCATGGAGAGCAGCTGCACCATGTGACGCTTGTGCAGCGGACCGATAGAAGCACTCGCGACGGGAATCTTCATCTCCTTTAAATACGCCAGCAATGCCTCCAGCGAGCCAAGCGTCGAACTCTGCACCGTCACGCCAATACCGTCAGAACTTAGCTGATCCGCGATATTGTTGGCCTCTTTCATGACCTCACGCGCAATATTGTCCCTGTCATCGCCAGGATGCACAACGAGCAAGGGGGTGCCAGGGATAACAAACTCCAACTCATTGGCGGCAATTTTAATCCCCATCGCCGCCTTCATTTCCTTGTGATGGATGTACTCCCCTCGCACCCGCAGTTCCTTCAACGGCTGCGGTGTCAGCAGAGCCCGAATCTGCGTAAAAATAGGACCGTTTTGGCCGCATAGGCAGATTGTGTCACCCTCGTGCAGCACACCGTTGATAAGGATCGCATCCACGGTCACACCGTACCCCGTAATGGGCTTCACCTCAAGGATGGTGCACTGCAGATCGTCCTTGTACGTCACCTTGCCCTCCATAAACTGCTGTACAAGCTGAATCTCCAGGAGCAGAAGGTCTGAGATGCCCTCGCCGCTCTTTGCGGAGGTGGGGACAATAGAAACCACCTTTCGCATGTCTTTGTTCCGGTAGTACAACTCCGAGTTGAGACCCTCTGCCTGCATCTCTTGCTTCACCTGACTCACACGTGCTTCAAACTCGCTACGCACGTTGTCCGGCTGCATGGCGAGCGTCTGTTCAATATCCATGTTTTCGTTTGCCTTCCAGGCGTAGAGCCGATCCACCTTGTTGAGCGCAATAATAAAGGGGCATTTTTTCTGGCGCAGCAGACGAATGGATTCGCGCGTTTGGGGCTCAAGACCATGCATGATATCCACCACGAGGATGGCGATGTCGCACAGGCTGCTGCCGCGGCTTCGCAGGTTAGTAAAAGACTCGTGACCGGGCGTATCAATCACCAGGAGCCCTGGCACATTCAAATTGTAGTTGTATTTCTTGTTGATGTCCGCTGTTGCGCCAACAAGAGCCTCACGTGGGAAGAATGTGGCACCAATTTGCTGTGTAATGCCGCCCGCCTCTCCGCCCTGTACGTTCGTGGAGCGAATGCGATCCAAGAGACTTGTCTTACCCGTGTCCACGTGTCCAAGCACGCAGCAGATGGGAGAACGAAGGCTGGCGACACTCTCAAGAACGCGCTGTTTTGCACGTTCTGCGGCTGCCGCCTCGGCGCGGGCGCGGGCGCGTTCCTCGCGCGCTTTTTTCCGCTGCTCAGCCCGCTCAACGCGCGCGGCACGGATGCGCTCGTTCTCGGCGTGGCGCTCGGTGCGGCGGTCGTCGCGCTCCATCAGTGCCTCCCAGTCGTCCTCGTCGACCTCCTCCTCGGACTCGGTTGCCACCGTCAAAGCGCCGTCATCCGCATCCTCCTCTTCCTCTTCCTCCGCCTCTGCTGCTGGGGGAGGCACCGGCACGGTCTCCTCCCGCCTCGGCGCCGCCGCCTGCGGTTTCGGCGCCGGCTTCCGCTTCGGCTTCTCCCGCTCCTGCCGCTGCTCCTCGCGTATCTTGTCGACGTCTGGGAGGATAAACCCCGCCGCCATCATGCGCTCCAAGGCCCCATCCTTCACGCCTTTTTTTGCATCCTTGCGAATCTGGCGCTCCTCCTCCTTGCGCCGCTGCTTCTCCTGGGCGCGTTGGGCCAACTCGAACTTCCGCTGCTCCTCCGCGAGGCGCTCCTCCTCGCGCAGCCGCCGCTCCTCCTCCTCGGCCTCCTTCAGCCTGCGCTCCTCCTCCTCCTTCTGCTTCTCCATGTGTTGCTTCAGCTTCGCCAGCATCGCGGCAGGGGGACCTTTGCGCGCACCCCCCGCCTTCGGTGCGGCCTTCGGCCCCTTTGGCGGCATTGCTCCTCAATCACACGCGTCGCGCAGGGCGCAGGTGCGTCGCGCCAAGCCACTTACTCAGTCCGTCACACGCAGGCACAACTGTGCAGGATGCCAAACCCCCCGAACAGCCTCAAAACAAGCAAACAAATATGTATATATATATATATATATATAAATAATTTACTTATGGATAGAAAATATGCGAACAAGGTCCACCGTTCAGTTTTATTGTCTGCTTGTATTCCCTTCAAACAGCACTGTTTATTGTCTGTGCGACTCTTCTCGCACTCGCACCCTCGCTATCTCCCTCTCTGAGTTTGTGTACCCGGCCGGAAAAGGAGAGTGCCCCAACCGCAATATGTGCGCCCCCTTAATGCGTTGCGCACGATTGCCCGGCAGCGCCCTCCTCGCAAAATAAACCAGACAAGCGATCACGCCAACAACAACAACAAATAAACACACAATCCAAGAGCGACGATCGAGAGAAACTACGAAACAAAATCCAAGCAATCCAACAGAAGGAAAAGAAGGAGAAATAAAATAAGCAGCGTAAACGAGGAGATCAACCACAAATCACCTTCACTGTGGAGGTGTGTACTGACCCGTTTATTCTCACGTCGCTGGTGTGTATCTTCTGCTATCCTTTATATGTAGCCAACGGCGCTTCCTCCTGCCGTCTCGTTGTGTGGCTGCTGCAGCCCTCCGCCTTGCCTCCCTACGGTGGCTGCAATACCAGCACGCACTATAATAGCTTGTGGAGGCTGTCCCTAACCCTGACACCTTCCTCGTCGTCGTCGTCGTCGTCGTCGTCGTTTGGCCCCTTTTTCCTTTTTCGTTTTATTGAACCTAATCCCACTACGGCACACTCCTTATGTGGAGAGAAAACAAATCGCTTGAGAGACTTCAGCTTGTGACGCCTGATGCTGGTGGGGGCGGGGGGGGGGGGAAAAAAGGCAACAACAACAACAACAACATAGAAGGAGCGGGAAGGAAGGAAAGTAGGCCTCTGCGGACTCCGTCATGGA